ATCTTCGTAAACACCAAGTTACGAATAAATAAGCTTAATTAATACAGATGCTCGATAAGTTCAATATTTTGCAATGGAATATGAATGGTTTCATTAACAACAGTATTGACCTTGAACTTCTCAGAAACGAACACCAACCACAGCTTATATCGATTCAAGAAACCCACTGTCCCAACAGCTTTACCCCTATACCTCCCAAAAACTACACAGCCTACTTCATCAACCACATCACAAATACTTACGCCAAGCAAGGCGTTGGCGTTTTAATAAAGAGTAACATCCCTCATACGCAAATATTTAACTCATCCTCCATCCAAAACATTTGCATCGAAATCCAATTTAATATCAAATTCACCGTCATATCCATTTACATACCGCCTGACCAAACCTTCAACCCACACGACATTGATAACCTCTTCCAAAACACAAGCAACCCTATCATTCTAGCTGGAGATATTAACAGTTGGAACACCCTATGGGGCTCCCGGTCTAACAACGCCAGAGGACTTATCTTCGAATCTGCAATATCGCGACACAACCTGTGTATACTCAACGACCGGCAACCAACTCACTTCTCCACACATGGATCGCTGACCCACGTCGATATTGCATGCTGCTCTCCCGCACTCCTTCCAATAACTTCGTGTTATACGTTGGATGATCTCTACCACAGTGACCATTTTCCAATTAAAACTACCTTAATCCTTTCCAATCATCATTGCAGGAGGCCGTTTGTCGCCAAATTTAAATTACACGATGCAAACTGGAATGAGTTCTCAAAGACGACCGACCAAGAGCTTGATAAAAGAAGACTCACCAATCAGACAAACAGAGACGCTGCGGTACTCACCAAGTCTATTCGTGTTGCAGCTAATAAACATATTCCACAAACCCACCCCGGTCAAAAAAGATCCGTTTATTGGTGGAGTTCCGAGCTCTCCACACTTCGATTGGAAAAGGTATCAAACTGGAAAGCATACAAACGATCCCCCACAAACGATAGTCTAATTCGATATAAAATATCCAACGCTAGATTTCGGAAAGCAGCGAAGTCCGCTAAAGCCCAATGTTTCCAACAATTTTCCAGCACAATTAACAGGGACACGCCCATTGCAAAAGTTTGGAGCCAATTGAAAACTATCTACAACAGAAATACGGATAACTCAATACTATCAATCAAATCCAACAATCAAACCCTACTCGAACCATCGAATATTGCAAATCAATTCGCCTCAGACTGGGCACAGTTCTCCTCAGACGATAATTTCTCCCCCGCTTTTAGAGCAGCGAAGTACCGAACAAGTGTTCCTTTAACTCACAATCCAATATGCAAGCGAGAATGTTAGAGTCAGCTATTACCACATCCGAATTCAAACAAGCAATTAATGGTGCCAAAGGGAATACTCCTGGAGCGGATCGTATATCATATAAAATGATAAAGTTTACTTCGTCTCGGACGCAACTTAAAATACTCGATTTATACAATAATATTGTCAACACCGGTGTTATCCCATTCGCATGGAAAACAGCTATCGTCGTCCCCATACTCAAGCAGAGTAAAGACCCAACTAAAACATCCAGCTATCGACCAATTTCGTTACTGCCATGCCTTGGCAAAATTTTAGAAAAAATAATTGCTAAAAGACTATCTTGGTTTCTAGAAAACAGAAGACTCATAGCACCAAACCAAGTTGCCTACACAGCTTAGAGCGGCTGCACCGATGCACTTCTCCACATCGATTTTTATTCCGCCAAAGCCCTCTCCTCAAAGAATCACGTTTCTATACTCTCAATCGACTTTGAAAAAGCATTCGATCGGATTGGTGCGCATATTGTTATCGAAACCCTACAGTCATGGGGAATCGGTCGTAAGGTACTAATGTTCATCCAAGGTTTTCTAACTAACCGCCGACTAAGAGTTAAGGTCAACAATACGCTCTCGGAACCCCAACAACTACATAATGGAATACCTCAAGGGTCGCCATTGTCGGTAATCCTCTTCCAAATCGCTTTTAACCGCATCAGTACCATCATACTCAAATATAAGACATTAGAGCACTGCATATACGCAGATGATCTGTATAGAATGGCAAAAGGCAACAATAACAATGACAACAACACGGTATTTACCAATGTCGTAAGCGAAATTAGCAGTTGGGCACATAGAGCTGGTGCGAACATCAATTTTTCTAAATCAGCGATTCTTCATATCTGCCGGAAACACAACTGCAACCCACCGGATCTGACAATAAATACCAACCGTATCAAACGGGTTGACAAATTAAAAATTCTCGGTATTGTTTTTAGCAAAAATTACAAATGGAACAACCACGTCACACAACTGAAAAAATCGCTAATGTCTAGAACCAACCTGATCCGGTACCTAGCCGGTAGGAGCTACACACATATCAACACACTCGTATATCTGGTAAAAACTCTGGTGCTGAGTAAAATCGACTACGGGCTATTTCTATACGGAAGTACTCCAAAGACTACTCTAAACATCATCAAGCCCTCATATCACCAAGCCATCAGAAGCAGCATTTACGCGTTTGTCACCACCCCGATAAACAACATGTTGACCGAATCAGGCCTTCCAGCACTGGAAGACAGAATCTCCGAAAATAGACTTAGACTACTACCAAAAATACTGTTTCAAAACAACTCAATAATCGACAACGACACCAATAAAGCCATCCTCTGCAAAAAAATCCCAAAACTCCCTTCAGCTATATACGACATTCTTAAAGGCCACAACGAAACACATCAAATGCACAAACATCACATTAAAAAATACCCGCTCTGGCTCTTTGATGCAAATACATGCAACACAGAGCTAGCAAGATTTAAAAAAGACAAAACTCCTATCACAATGTATGCTAAACTATTTAATCAACAACTGTCGATATTTAAAAACCAACATTACGAAATACTCTATACAGACGCCTCAAAAGAAGAACATAGCACCGCTTACGCAGTAGTCGACGCAGACGGTCATACGTTAGCGAACTACTCAATGCAACCCACTGCGTCAATATTTACCGCGGAAGCCGCGGGTATAATGGAGGCGCTTCAAATAGCCCAAAAAAAGAATAAGAAGGCTGTAATCTTCAGCGACAGTCTCTCGGTCTTAGAAGCCATAAAAAATATCTCCAATAGTAACTGGGACACAATAAACGCGATCCGTGATATTTTACACCAGTCCCAACACACAAAACTCTTCTGGATACCAGGACACGTAGGTATAACTGGTAATGAGGAAGCAGATAATGCAGCGAAGTCTGCGAGCAAGGCTCCAACCATCATTAGCCCCATTATAGAGAAAACTGATCTAGCGCGTGTCTGTCTTCAACAGCACCGAAAACAACAACAAGCCAAAAGAGCACTCTATCAACATCACCATTACTCAACTATTAACACAAACAATGCACCTGCTATTTACCCTACTACCATAGAAAAAGAAAAAATCTTTGTATTTTCCCGCCTTCGCCTTGGGCATACAAACGCAACTCATTCGCACCTACTAAGTACCCAACACAGCGGAAACTGTCTACATTGCAACGCACACCTAACAGTCAACCACCTTCTCCTCGAATGCACGGAGCACCGCAGGTCTAGAAATTCCATCCTTAACAACCACAACCCAATCGATCTACTCAAAACTCCTTCAATCCAGAACATCAACGTTATATACAATTACATCAGAGCCATCGATGCCAAGATATAATCCACACTTTTACATTACCGACACAGCCAATACCCCTAGCAGCTAGCGCTGTAACTAACTATTAAATTTTATAATTTATTATAAATTTAATACAACAAATAAATAAATAAATATGTAAGAAAAGAAAACTGGATACATGTTTGGCTTGGTCAGTGATACATTTTTTTGAGACGGCGCGGCAACACTGATCATGTACTTCTTCAAATTGTTACATTTCGGGTTCTGTTCATCGTAGACTTCATTGTTGACTCTCACAAAATAACCTCGTCATAAAAAAAAAATTAAAAATGTTTTAAAAATAGTTCTTGAAAAACTCCCATTTTTTGAACATGTTTTTATAGAGAATTAAACAAGGATTACGATGGTGTAGTTTTAAATCCCAAATTTACTGGTGTTCACTATGCAAATCAACTTAAAAAATGTTCAATTGTTAATAGCAAAGTTAGGTTAGGTTAGGTAAGGTGCCAGCCCCGTGTAACCGGAGCTCACTTAGATAATGTAAGATTGTCCTTTGTGATACCACAATTTGGAACGGCCCCCTAAACTTTATCGTTAAAACGCTCCGAGCCGATTTTGTATTTACTAATACGGCTGATCTCAATGCCCCAGAGCTCCTCGGGGCTGTTTAGAAAGTGAGAGCCAAAGTACTTCAACCTTAGCCTCGCAAACGCTGGACACCTAAGAAGGTAGTGTTGAGGTGATTCTACCTCGTCATCTTCCAGGCAACAGCGACACAAAGGGTCCGGCAGAATGTTCAGCCTTACTGCGTGGAGACCGGTAGGACTGTGATCCGTTGAAACCCCCACCAGAAGTGATAGCTGTGGCTTTGTGAGTGTGAGGAGTGCCCCCGACCGCCCCCGGTCCACCCTCGGCCAAAAGGACCTTGCGATCGCGCATGTCATGGTATTCGCCCAGCGTTCGCTGAGCTGACATGAGGCCCATTTATCCAAGAGCGAACCGCAAGCGATCAATGGCACCCCCAGCTGCTCTTTATTCGGTGATAATGTTTCACGGGTTCCTTCCCTGGCCAGCTCGTCAGCCACGCAGTGCCCCCCAATGTCGCTGTGTCCCGGAACCCAAATAAGCCTAATGCGGAAGTACTCCGACGCGGCCGAAAGAGAGAGAAGGTATTCCTTAACCAGGTTAGAGCGCACCTCTAACGAACTCAAGGCCCTGATAGCCGCTTGGCTATCAGAATATACGCTCACTTCCCTGACGGTTATAACGCTCCTTAGCAGTGAATCCACCGCCTCCTTGATAGCAGCTACTTCCGCCTGGAATACACTGCAAAGTCCGGGAGCCTGAACTTAGTGCTGATGGAAAGCTCTCGACAGAAGACCCCTCCACCAACCCTGACATCCAGTTTCGATCCATCCGTAAAGAAGTTCACCGCACCCCTCCAGAAGTCCCGCCCGGCCCACTCATCCTGGTCTCGTAGAGCCAATAGACAACTTTAGGGGAGATGCGCCATCTCTTACCAATAGCTCCCCTACTGCAATACAATGCCACTGATGCCTTTCTTGCCCTTTCCTCGATGTTTGGTACCGACGACATCTTCCTGACCAGGATCAAGCCCAAGTACTTGACCCTGTCAGACAGCTGTAAGCGCAGACCTCGAACCGAGGGAAGAGCAGCGGCGGGGATTTTATATTTTTTTGTGAATAGGACCAGCTCTGTCTTACTGGGGTTTACGGCAAGACCACTTTTGGCCGCCCAGTTAGTAACTATGTTAAGGTACCGTTGGGTCAGTTCATACAGTGTTCAGGTATTTACCTTTAACTAGGAGCGCCACATCGTCTGCATAGGCTATTACCCGACAACCGTGTTTCTCCAGCTCCACTAGTAGCTCATTCACCACGACGACCCATAGAAGGGGTGAGAGAACCCCTCCCTGCGGGGTGCCCCTGCTCACCATGCAAGACAAGCAGGCGCTGCACCAGACGGCCATGACACATCTGTCACGCAGCAAGCTTTCGATGAGCCTAATGAGACTGACTTCAACCCCAAGCTTATCTAGCGACTTAACTACTGCGTCCGGCAAGACATTATTCAAAGCCCCCTCGATATCGAGGAAGGCTCCTACGGCAAAGTTCTTGTGAGTGAAGGCTTCCTCTGTACACCTCACAATTGTATGCAGAGCAGTATAGACTGACCGTCCTTTACAGTAAGCATGCTGAGCTCTAGACAGGCGATCCCGAGGAATCATGCTCCTTATGTGCATATCAACCAGCCTTACCAACGTTTTCAGCAGAAACGACGAAAGACTGATCGGCCTAAAGTACTTGGGGGCAACATGAGATCTCCTTCCGGCCTTCGGGATGAACACCACCTTGACGACCCTCCAACCCCTGGGAATTTACCCGTATCTAACGCAGCTCGCGTAGAATGGGGCCAACCAATGGCACGATACCTCCGCCGCCTTTTGCAGTTGTGCAGGTATGATGCCATTAGGTCCTGGGGATTTGAAGGGTTCGAATGAATTGATCGCCCACGCCAGAAACAGCAGCACAGTATCCACACACTTCGCCTAAGGAGATCTCCTCAGGGGAGGGATCGGAAGGAAAGTGAGTGTCCAGGAGCAACCTAAGCGACTCCTCGCCACTCATAGTCCAGTGACCTGCCTCATCTCTCAAGTAACCCAGCGGAGCAGGACTCCTAGCGAGAATACGCCTAAATCGAAGATTCATGACACCCTTCAACGTTTTCGCAGAAAGACCTCCATGAAATCTTTTTTGCCTTTCTTATTTCGGACTTGTAGATTCCTAGTCCAACCTTATAAAGTTCCCAATCAGAAGACAACTTACTGCTACGGGCCCTATTGAAAAGTCGTTTGCTCGACGCTCTTAACTCAGAGAGCTCCACAGTCTACCAAAGGGGTTTCCCTCTACCTTTCTGAAATCTCAGGGGACATGCGGTTTCAAGAGCTTCCCTGCACGCAGAGCTGAAAACTTCAACAAGCTCCTCCAGCGAGTCTACCGACTGCACAGAATTTGGTTCCGGCGCATCAGGGAGCACTCCGCGAAGGTTCCTGTTATACAGATCCCAGTTCGTGCTCCTCACGTTCCTGAAGGGCTTGCTATGTGGACGCGTTTTGTCCAAATAGAATTGAGTATAACTATGATCCGAAAAAGAGTGTTCGCTCAGAACCCTCCAATCCGAGATCAGAGTTGCTGTCTCAGATGAAGCTAGTGTGAGGTCAAGAACCTCCTCCCTGGCAGCAGTTATAAACGTAGGGGAATTCCCCCTGTTACAGATATGTAAGTTTTCACTTAGAATAAACTCAAAAAGTGACTCACCTCGCAAGTTTGTATTCGAGCTGCCCCAAACTGAGTGCCTCGAGTTCGCATCGGACGTCAAGATCACGCCAGCTTTCCGTCGCTTGGATCCGCTAGAGCGCTCCTCAGCAGCATTGGAGGTGGCTCCACCTCGTCATCGTGCGGCATGTAGGCGGATATGAGCCAGAGTTCTATAGCCTCTCGTTCCAGCCTAATGGAATGTTGGAGATTAATCTGCAGAATCTTCATTCTCCAGAATATCCTCTATGAGCGCTAGTTCCGCGCTCTCACCGCGGACATCGACCCCACCGAACAGCCTCTCGAGGCTGAAGACGGACGCCCCGGCAGAGGAGCCGCCCCCAATACTCTCAGCATCCGATTGAGCCGAGTCTCCCAACTCGGAGTCAATGGCCTCTCTTCCTCCCTCCGAAGTTGCTGGAGGCAGAGGGTCATCTGCTTTGGCTTCGGTCGGTAGAATCTGTAGAATCACCTTCTCGAAGCCATAGTATATGACCCCCTTTGTATCGCCGAGAGCACCGAGGGACTTTGGATTAAGCAGTATCAGCGCTTGCCGATAAGATTCCTCCGTCCTCTCCAGCCAGATAACCCTCCAGTTATGCGTCGGGAGAGATGGGTTGCAGTACCGAAGTATTCTTTCGATCTCCTCTGGAGAGGTAAGCTCAAAAGGGAGCCATACCCGAGCCCGTGGACGCATCGGAAGATATGCTTTGTCCACGGCCACTAGATTGGCACTCTTCCAAACCTCCCCCACCAGAGAGACTACCTCCTTGTATAA